CCCCCCCTTCCCTCTCTCCTCTCTCTCTCCTCTCTCTCTCTCCTCTCTCTTCCTTCTCTCTTTCCTGTCTTTCCTGCTCGCTCATTTCTCAATCAAAATATGTATAGGCCTACTCTATGTGGCTCGTCGGCGCTGGAGGGCTCAGTCATGTCACGATCTTCACAGTTCTAACAAAAATACGAAAAAAATGATTAAACCCCTAAAAGATACACTGTAAACCCAAGTGTGTACATACTACACTCTTCCTTGTGTGTACTTGAAAGCACACACTTCGTAGCAGTGTGCGTAGCGCTATGGCATGTACACGCTTTCTAGTGTGTCATGCCAGGCACACACTTTCTTGTGAGTCCTTTCAAGTACACACAAGGAAGAGTGTACTATGTACACACTTGGGTTTACAGTGTATTATTTGGTAGATACCACAGGAGTGAATATTTTTAATTTTTAAAATATCCTTACACCCTAAGGGATTTGTTGGTGGCCTAACAAAAAATCTTCGGTTGTGTCCGAGTCTTTGCTTTATTTTATTTGACTCTGGGCCACAAGCTGGCCGGGTCAGACTGCCCATACATATTGGCAAATATCCGGCCACGCCCTCTTTGAGGTGGTATTTCTGTGTGTGGTGCCTTAAGGCCTGTATCTGAGGGAGGCAAGGCAGGGCGTGCGTTGGCGGGGTGAGGTGATGTGGGGCGGGGCGGGGCGTGCGGTGCTGCGCCTCGGCGTGGCCTCAAAGCCTAGCCGCGGGGCCCGAGCCCTGGCTAGCATACCGGCATGCATACCTTTGTGGCTCTGCTGTGAGACGGACCAAGAGAGAAAAGGGACAGCTCTTTCCCATGACCAAGTGCAGCTTCTCGGTCCTCTGTTGTTGTTGTTGTTGTTGTTGTTGTTGTTGTTGTTGTTCAGTGGTTGTTGCATAAAGGACACGCGCCAGAGACAAGGAGGTCTGGATGCACATTGTACACCATCATATTTTCGGCCAGTTTCTTGTATTTCACAGACTTCTTACATTATGTACACACTTTGCCATAATTTTGACTCGTAGCGGAAAAATAACCTTTTTCAATACGCCAAATCTAAATCCTTATCAAGATTCGGCTCATTACAGATTTTTGTTTCGCTATAATAAACATTTACAAGTGAATTTCAAAATTTAATACCAATGCCTATGGATGAAGGGTTAAGGGGACGCCAGAGTTAATTTTCAGCTGAATAATACTAAACCTAGAAAGGAGAGTGCAAAGTATAAAAAAATATTCTGTCCAGAACGAACGAAAATAATTCCTAAGATGCCATAGCAACTCGAAATGATTATCTTCCTCATATCTTTTGTACTACATCGGGTTGTTTATATGTACTCTATATTTACAAACATCCTGAGGGGTGTAAGATACGCCAAGCCAAATGATTCGTAGAGAGATTTTGCTTGTAGATGTTTCTATGACGAAATGTTTCTATTATCAATAGAAACACAAAGGTACGACTTCTTCAAAGTAATGCCCTAAAGCTTGAGCTCGGGCGTCTTTCAACAGGCAGAAGTATGCTTCAATTTAAGAGCCTCTCGAATTTTTACGTAACTTTCTTTATAGACTTCATGAAGGAAAGTCTCACCTTTGTTTTACCAGTGGTGCTCCGTAACGCGATCAATCCGTATCTACTCCCTAATACTTTTCGTTTTCCGGCAAGACAAAGAAGCTCGGGGAAGGGGCGTCAATAAACGACTAATAATGTTTTTCTGTCACCTCGATGGGCGTAAAACTTATATTAGGTACACTGAATGTAATACTTTCGTCCATCTACTGAGATACTAAGTGAGTACAGGTTCCTATGGAATGTTACCTTATTTGTCACAAGCCACAAGAGCGCAGGTCGTTTGACGTAGTTCTTGTCACGCTTGGTGACTTATCACGAGTACATTGTACAACTCGACACGACGAGACCCCTGCGCTGCGCAGTCGACTGGACTGTGAAACCTTACCGGCCCAGAGCTCAGGCCTTCTATTATTTTCTTTTGTGCTTTGCGGCATTATTTGCACGGCCTCCCGAGAGGCCTGTAATCGTCCGGTTCCTAAAATGATAAGTTTTGATTTGTATAACAGGATAATTTAGGCCTAAATTGTTTCTAACAAAGATTACAAATTTCCGTAGCCGTTTTGATGACATTTATTAACCATGAAATCAAACTTTGCACTCTTTACCGAAAATCACCCAAAACAGGGCGCTGCCAGTAACCTGAGAGAACAACAGAGGTTTTCATTAAATCAGCCCATCGCCTAGTCGCATTTGACTGCCCTAATAACTAGCCTATAGCCTTTTCACCGAACATTTCCAAAAATAATCTAAAGTAAGAAATTTAATTTTCCATCATTATGCCTACTTTCAGCCTTATGAGAAGGGCGACAAGACTGGAATCAACACCTGTACTGCAGGCTTTGAACACTTAACCCTTCTAAAAGTACTGTGTCGCCCCACCTTTGGTCATACTATTCATTTCAACCGTTCTCAAACAAAATAGAAATTAATGAAGCATTGATATGCGAACAGCTCAAGTTCAATTCGGTATGGATTGCAGATGTAAGCCGTTCGTCGCCCCAACTTACGGGTTCGAACAAAGCCACATAAAGTGAAAATAATTTATTAGAAATCTTTTCTGAAAAACTCGTGGCGTCACAAGCTAAGGTGATGGACTTTGAATTTTTTTCCTAGCCATTTCTCTTGGTCTTTGCTCTATCAATCCGGTGTGTTCTATTTACAGCCCACTCGCTTATCACTCTCAAATATCCCGTCATGCGCA